AACATTAAAAAAAAACACTTTTTGATGCACTAAAACATCTTTTACATAATATAGTAATAATGTTTTAATGTGTATTGCAAAGTACTGCCTACATGTTATTATGAATCATTTGTATATACTTCAAAATTTTAATATAATAGGTTTTACCAGGTTGCATGGATTTTCATAGCCCAGGACTATCTTTAGTTTGGTGTCATTGTTTTGATTCTTACCAGTCATCAGCAATTATTTTAACCCACTGGTGACTTGGTGACTGGGGTCCTGGTGTCACTGTAGCTAAACAGTCATCTGAGACTCAAAAGGTCAACATTTTGAATCCACCAGCCACTCCATGGGAGAAATATGTGACTGCTTTTATAAAGATTGTTGTTCAGTGCTGTTGAGATGGTTCTGACTCTTAGCGACCCCATGTACAACCAGAATGAAATTGCCTGATCCTGCACCATGCTCACAATGATTGTTATGCTGGAGTCTATTGCTGCTGGCTCTGTGTCAGCCCATCTTATTGGGGGGCTTCCTCCTTTTCGCTGACCCTTCACTTTAACCAAGCATAATCTCCTTCTCCAGGGACTGGTACCTTGTGTCACGTGCTCAGAGTATGAGAGATGAAGTCTTGCCATTCTGCTAATGACCGAAGACCAGAGGATGACACCAAGAACATCATACAGGAAGAAAGTAAAAGTCATTACAAAGACAGGAAAGAAAGAAAAGACCGAATGGATCTCAGAAGAGACTCTGAAACTTGTTGTTGACTGCAGAATAGCTAAAGATGTTGTTGTTAAGCACCATCAAGTTGGTTCCGACTCATAGCAACCCTATATAGGGTTTTCAAGGAGCAGCTGGTGGGTTTGAACCATTGACCTGAGGTTAGAAGTCCAGTGCTTATCCTATGGTGCCACACCCTAACTGCATCTAAAGTATAAGGGGAAAAAAATGAAAGAGCTGAACAGGAGCTTTCAAAAGGCAGCTTGAAAAAGCTAAATCAAGTATTGTAATGAATTATGCAAAGACCTGGAGTTAGAAACCAAAAAGGAAAGAACATGCTCATTATTTCTTAAGTTGAAAAAAACTGAAGCAAAAAATTGAAGGCTCAACTTGCAATATTGAAATATTCTCTGGGTAAAATATTGAATGATGCAGACAGCATCAAAAGAAGATGGAAGGAGCTGAGAGTGAAGCATCCAGCTGATATGAAGTGAGGGGAGATGCACAAGAACACCCAAACTTGCAGATAGTACCCATTTGACCTAGCCTCAATGGCTTGATAATCTGAACTCAAATAGAGGTTGATAAAAAATAAAAATAAAAAAATTTTTGATAAAGGAAATGAGGGTAAACTGCTATAATTTAATGAACTTGACCTATACTTGATGTAGTTGCTCAAAATACCAACAGAGAGGGAAGGAGTCTCCACATTAAATATCTATGCTATCCCCTCTGTACACAGGGTAGATAGGGACGGGCAACCTAGACATTGGCTACCTAAAATGAGGGCGCAATAAAGGCATGAAGTGACTGGCTTATAAGGTTTTGAGAGGAAGTTTAGTTTAAGAATGTGCGGGGAAGAAAGAATCCCCACTGAATATAGTTTTCATCTTGTCTAGATGGGTCTGGTTAAAAGAGATGGAGATAAGATTCTTATGATTCAGTAGTGAATAATTGTTATCATGACTAATTGAGACTGTCACAACTGTAAAGGTAGAAGTTTTGTAACAAAACCAGGGAGTAGTTAGTCTTACAGTCCAGAAACAAAGGACCCTAGGACCATCAAGGAAGAAGAGCACAAGCTGAATGCGAGACCTTATCCAAATAAGCAGTGACACCAGAGATGGAGGCAGAGATGGGGACATGGAGAAAGGGAGTACCTGAGGATTCTAGATTCATGGGAAGAGAGGGACTTAGAGCTGGTGGCCAGGAGGCAGACTTGCAGAATGTGCCCTTTGGTTGTTTAAATTATTATGTGCCTGAGTGTTAAAAAAAAAAAAAAAAAGGGTAAACTGAATTGAGAGAAATACTGTTAACTGATGATACATGGAGGGGATTATAATCATTGTAATGAAACAAAGTATATGGTTTGTTGAATGTAAAACTGATGATCTGCCCTGTAAACTTTCACTCAAATCACAATAAAAAACTTTAAAAAAAAGAAGATGGAAGGAATACACAGTCCCTGTACCAACAAGAATTAGTTGACACTAACCATTCCATGATCAAAAGTAATGGTATTGAAGGAAGAAGTCCAAGCCTCACTGAAGGCGTTAGCGAAAAAATAAGGCTCCAGGAGTTGACAGACTACTAATATTTCAAAAAATGGATGCAGTGCTAGAAGACAGGTACCTGCCAGTCGACTGGAAGAAATCCATATTCATGTCCATTCCAAAGAAAGGTGATCTAGCCAAATGTGGAAATTATTCAATAGTATCATAAACATCACACATAAGTGATGTTTTGCTAAAGATAATTCAAAATGGTTACAGCAGTACATTTCTAGGGAACTATCAGAAATTCAAGCTGAATTCAGAAGAGGATGTGGAGCAGGGGTACATTTCCTGATATCAGATGGATCTTGGCTGAAATCCGAGTATACCAGAAAGATGTTCACTTGTGTTTTATTGACTATGAAGAGACATTTGAGTATGTGGATTATAACAAATTATGGATAACCATGTAAAGAAAGACTACTTAATTGTGCTCATGAGGAGCTATACAAAGACCAAGAAGCAATCATTTGAACAGAATAAGGGAATACTGCATGATTTAAAATCAAGAAAGGTATGCATCAGGGTGTGTATCCTTCAACCATTTTAATTCAATCTGTATGCTGAACAAATAACTGAGAAGTTGGACTACATGAAGAATGAGGCATCAGGATTGGAGGAAGATTCATGAACAATCTGCAATATGCAAATGATACACCTTTGCTTGCTGAAAGCAAAGGAACTTGAAGCACTTAGTGATGAAGACCAAAGACTAGAGTCTTTAGTATGGATTATCACAACTGGATCAATTAGCAACATCATGATAAATGGAGAAAAGATTGAACATGTCAAGGATTTCATTTAACTTGCATCCACAGTGTCCATTGAAGTAGCAGTCAAGAAATCAAATTGCTTATTGCACTTAGCAAATCTGCTGCAAGAGACCTCTTTAAAATGTTAAAAATCAGATTCTAGACCCTGAGGCGTCTTTTTCCGCCTGTGGATTGTGCTTCCAGTGCGAAGGTCAGGGACAAGATGCTGCCCCTGGTGCAGGTCTTTCCACTCAGCAAGCTTGCCTGCTGCTTTTCCCTGTTCCTCTGCCTGGCCTACGGAGCCAAGCTCTACATTTACCTAAAGCCTCGGGCAGAGGAGAAGCAGCAGCAGGATGAACCAGAGCGGATCGCCAGGGAACTGGCTGAAGCCCAAGACACCAGCATATTAAAATGAGATTGGACGAGTTGACGTTTCTCCTCAAGCAGCAGTGACGACTAAAGTTTCCTATGTTGTAGGACCCTCCAAAAAAAAGTTAAAAAGCAGAGGTGTAACTTTGAGGACTAAGGTGACCCAAGTCATGGTATTTTTCAGTTGTCTCATATGCATTCAAAAGCTGGATAACGGAAGACTAAAGAAGAACTGATGCATTTAATTATGGTGTTGGTGAAGAATGTTAAGTATAACATGGACTTCTAGAAGAATGAACAAATCTGCCTTGGAAGAAGTATAGCCACAATACTCCTTTAGAAGTGAAGATGGTGAGACCTCGTATCACACATACTTTGTGTACGTGTTATCAGGAGGAGAGACCATTTTCTGGAGAAGGGCATCATGCTTGGTAAAGTAGATGGAAATCAGGTAAGAAGCAGCTCAATGAGATGCATTCGCACAGTGGCTTCAGAAATTGGCTCAAGCGTAGCAATGATTGTGAGAATGGTATAGAGTTTTACTCCATTGTACAAGGTCACTAGGTCACTATGGGTCAGAACTATCTCGATGATACCTAAGGGCAACAACATACATATTTATATCTATGACCTTCATTGGTTTTCTCATTTTTGGAATCCAGAACATTAAACAATTCTCAAAAAGGAAAATAACAAAAACTTGATTTTATAAGAAGACATGCTCTTTGGCCGTTGATTTTTTTTTAGCTTTCTAGAGGGGTTACAGGAGGTCTGGTAGCATAGTGGTTACGAATCAGGCTGTGAACTTCAAGGTCAGCAGTTCGAAACTACCAGCTGTTTCACGGGAGAAAGATGAGGCTTTCTGCTCCCATGAAGGTTTACAGACTTGGAAATCCTGTATAAGGTCGCTATGAGTCGGAACCGACTCCACGGCACATAACAACAACAACAGAGGGATTACACACTCTTTTGAATATTTGATCAAAGGTTTGAGTCAGAGTCAACTCTACTGCAGTGGGTTTTTTTTTTAATATATAAATTTCAAAATAACTTATTGACCACATGTTAATTGTTGAAGTTGGAATTTATTATAGTATCCTTGAAATTTTCATTTAAAAAATGTTTTAAATTATCAACTAGGTCAGTTGTAACTTTTTTTTAATACTTTGCTTTGAAAGTAATCTTAGTTCTTATGCTCTATTTAAGAAAAGAAATTGTCACCCTGTAATTTATGTCCTTATTTTCTTGTTCTCTTTATATTTTAGAATCAAAATTATATAGTCAACAATTTCCACAATGTTTCTTTTTTTGTACTTTATTCATTCTTTGGAGAATTTTTGTGGGGAGGAGGGCAGGGACGATGAGAGCTTTTCTAGGTTATCTGATCTCTACTTTTAAATAGCTTATGTATTAACAGCCTTATTTTCCCCATATACAATTTATGTTGTTAAGTACTGTCAAGTTGGTTCTAACTCATAGTGACTCTATATAGAGTTTCCGAACCACCACCCTTGCGATTCAAACCAACCTTGCAGTCCAGTGCTTATCCTACAGTGCCACACCAGAACTCCACGATTAATAGGGCACAAGAATAATTTTAGGTCTCTTGAATCTATTACAGGTGGTTATTGGAGATCAAGATGGGGTAGTTATGTGTTTTGGAGTGAAGAAAGGAGAAGCAGTGGTAAGTATAGGGTTTTTTTCCGGAAGATAATAATTTAAAAAAATGTTTTGATGAAGAAGAAACTCACTACTTACTGAATAATCTTAGGTTCAAAATTTTCTTAAATATATATAACATTTGTGAGGATGATGCCAGGACCATGCAGTATTTTGTTTGGTTGTGCATAGTCACTATGAGTCAGAACCAACTTGACAGCTCCTAACAACAGCAGAAGTGGGATTTTAGGGAAAGAATATGAGGCAGCATACAACACAGAAGTCATGTGTAGCTAACTGAATAACACCTTTGGCATCCTGTTTTGATGTATTTGTTTTCTATGCTGTGTAATAAATGAACTTAAATTTAGGGGACAAAAATGAGCAGCATATCATCCTTACCTACAGCACTCTACTTCTCAGCTGGGTTTGATATTTCATTGCAATGGCCACACAACTCAGACACCATACTCACAGTTAGGGGCTTTTTAGGGAAGTTGTTGCTAAGTGCCGTTAAGTCGGTTCCGATTTACAACGACTCAGTGTAGGGTTTTTGAGCAGCAACTGGTGGGTTTGAACTGCCAGCCTTATGGTTGGTTTGCATTCCAGTGCTGATCCTACAGTGTCACACCAGAAGTTTATTAGGGAAGTTAGCAGGGTACAATTCAGGCTCAGAACAGGCATCATTCTTCCAGCTTCTCCGCAGCCTTGTTCACACATATGCCTCTCCCTGCCTAGCCCCTGTTTAAGCTCTTTTAAAAGCTGCTGATAAATGTTCACAGGACACACCGCTCCACCCTAAGCCTCACCTGAAAGCACTTGATTCTAGCTCTGTGGGCCAGCAAACCTTCCTCACCCGAGCAAGCCTCCTGCCCCAAATCATTTGGTTGTACTTGCACCTTGGGCTGGGAAGTTTACCACTCTCTCTGGTGCTCTGACTCTTGGTTCTCCTGCTGCTCCTCTGCAACTTCCTTGGTGTCAACAACTTTCTGTCCCTGGGTGGAGTTGGTTTCATGCATAGGGATCTCAGGGTCCAAAGGACATGCTCCACTCCTGGTTCTCATTCTTTGATGGTAGTGAGATTCCCCCTCCAGCTTTCTGAGATGGGTCCTTTTATACCCATGTTGGCATCCTGGTGTGGTGTTGTGGGTTAATGTGCTGGATTGCAAAGTCGGTTTGAAACACAAGGTCAGCGGTTCAAGCTAACCATCTGCTCCTTGGGAACCCTATACAGGGTCACTATGGGTTGGAACCGACTTGATGGCACTTAACAACAGCATAACCATGTTAGAGTTACAGTTTTTACAATCTCAGTGAACTCTGTTAATAATCATTCACCGCTGAATCATATTATCCTGTCATTAACTTCTTTCTCCCACCTTCTCTTACTCAGACCCATCAGGAAAATTTGATTGTGGGAATTTACAAAAACTCTGGCTAGAAGAGACATTAAATAATATCTGACACACTTAAAAGAAGCCCATCTACATATGTTATCTTACAGTTTCTGTGGGCCATGAGTCCAGGCACTGATTAGCTCTATCCTGTCCAAGGTCTCACATGCTGCGCCTTGTGCATGTGGCTGGCCTACATTCAGATCTGGTGCCTGAAGTATTAGTCCAAGCTTCTGTGGTTGATAGAATTTATTTCTTCACCATAGATAGGAGCCCTAGTGGTGCTGTGAGTTAGGTGTTAAGTTGCTAACTGCAAGGTTAGGAGTTCAAACCCACCAGCTGCTCTGCGAGACAAAGGTGAATCTTCCCATTCCTATAAAGAAACCCTGAGTTGGAATTAACTTGATGGCAGTGGATTTAGTGTTTGTTTTGGGGTAGATAATGACAGTATTTAAACCAGTGCTTCTCAAAATTTACTGTGAAAGCACCTGGGGAATCTTGTGAGACTGCAGCTTCTTATCCAGTAGATTTTGAGTGGGATCTGAGATTCTGGTTTTAATAAGCTTTTAATAACCTGTGCTGCCAGTGCTGCTGCTTACTGTGAGCCCTGCTTTGAGTAGAGGGGTTTAGAATTTAATGGTATCATTGAAATATGTTCTAATATGTAAGAATAAATATTCCAAAGTTTAAGACTTTTAGTAAAAATAGCCAAACATTCACTAAAATAGATTTCTAACAAAGTACTTCCACATAATGGAACTTTAACATTTTGTAAATCTAAAATCATAGCATTTTTTTTATGGTAAAAAAAGACCCTATACAAATGTTTACAATAAAACACTGTATGCACCTAATAATTTTTTTTCTCTAATTATTTTTGCAGGCAGTGTTTAAAACATTACCTGGGCAGAAGATTGCAAGGCTGGAGCTAGGAGGGGTTCTTAACACGCCCCAGGAAAAAATTTTTATTGCTACAGGATCTGAAATTAGAGGCTTTACAAAGAGAGGAAAACAGTTTCTCTCTTTCGAAACAAACCTCACTGAAAGCATCAAAGCTATGTATGTGTGTTGTTTTCCTTTTGTTTGTATATATCCATTGACAATACTTTGAATAGTTATAAAGTGTCATTGGTGGTACAGTAGTTAAGTTTTGGGCTCTAACCTAAAGGTTGGCAATTCAGACCCACCAACTGCTCAGTGGGAGAATAATGTGGCAATCAGATTCCATAAAGACTTTGTTGTTATTCGGTGCCATTGAGTCAGTTCTAACTCATACTGATCCTAGATAGGGTTTCTGAGGAGTGGCTTGAGGATTTGAACTGCCAACCTTGCAGTTAGCAGTGCAGTGCTTATCCTACAGCGCCACACCAGGACTCCGGCCCTGAAAACCTATGGGGCATTCTACTCTCCTACATGGTTTCTATGAGTCAAATTGACTGGACCGTAGTGGGCTTGCGATGGATATAGAGCATCTGATGAAATATCTGTTAAAAGGTTTTTGGGGAAATACAACTGACTAAAAATACTTTGTGAACTATGGTGTGGTACAGTAGGATAAGCACTGGATTGGTAACCACAGTTCATACCTACCAGCCACTTCCAGAGGCCCTATACATGATTGCTAGAAGTGGCACACAACAGTAACAAAAGGTATTTTAAGGAGCCCTGGTGGTGCAGTGGGTTAAGCATTGGACAGCTAACTCCCAAAGGTTGGCAGTTTAAATTCATCAGGTGCTCTAAGGGAGAAAGGTAAGGTGGCCTTGGAAACGTTAAAAAGCAGTTCTATTCCATCTTACTGAGTCACTGTGAGTCCAAATCAGCTGGATGGCAATGGAGGTACTATAGGAGCCCTGGTGGAACACTTAACTTCCAATGGAAAAGGTGGTGGTTTGAATTCATTAGTTGCTTCACTGGAGAAAGACATACCAATCTGCTTCTCTAAAGATTATTGCCTTGGAAACCCTATGTGGCGTTCTACTTTGTCCTGTAGGGTTGCTGTAGCTGATTGGCTATTGAAAAGTTATTTTCTTTTTAAGACCTTTATAATATTTACACATTCATTTATTTCTTGGTTCAGTATCATGATTCATGACCAAGGAAAAGAGATAACGTGAAAGAAATCTCCAGATTTAGATTCTTCTTTCTTGGCTGTTCTGATCATTAGGGTATTTGTTAACCTTTATTTTGGTAAAAGCTGGCCATCAGTGTTATCACTCCTGTTGTTAAGTGCCTTGGAGTCAGTTCCAAATCATAGTGACCCTGTTTAGGGTTTCCAAGGAGTAGCTGCTGGGTTTGAACCACCAGCCTTGTGGTTGGCAGTCTAGTGCTTACTCTACAGTGCCACGCCAGGACTGCAAATAGGGTATACTTCAGGTGAATCAAGTAGCCTCTAAGTAAAAAGTTAATTCACTTAAAACTTTTAAGCCTTCTGATGTGTGAAATTTTGCTGTTAAAAGTTTAGATTTTAAATCATGGAAAGACGGACAAGGCTTTCAATTTCATATAATCCATTGTTTCTCAAACCTATTAATTATGATAATCGTCTGGAAAACTTAAAAAACGAGCAAACACAAGACCAGTTTGCTTTCTAAATCAGAATAACCAAGAGTGTGTTAAAAAATAGTTCATCATTTGAATCTGCTGTAGCTTAATGTGAAAGCAGCCAGGCCTGAGTTTGGGAACTACTGATTTAGTTCAGAGTGCCGTATAATGCACAGCTGTCCACACATCTGTAGAGTGACCAAATGAACTGTAAAATGGGCCTGATGAAATAAGATAAGAGTTTAAAGATTGCGAGTGGAAGTAATTTTAGTGGTTGGTTCAAGTATAACACTTGAAATGTTTTTGTAGATAGGTAGGTGTATGGCCAATGATGATTATAAAATACTAAAAGGAAAGTGGGTTTTAGATTTCAAGCTGTAATGTATTTCTTATTGGCATACCACTACATTCAGAGAGGTATATAACTAGAAGTGTGAGAAAAATTAGGGGTCCTGGTGTGGCACTGTAGGATAAGCGCTGAACTGCTAATCACAAGCCCTACCAGCTGCTCCTCAGAAACTGTATACAGTTGGAACCAACCCAATGGCACTTAACACCTACAGTCTCTTTAGTGCCATCAGAGTTTTTGCTGGAGTGGCAGAGGTGAAATGAAAAGGTGTGTTAATCAATTTGGCATGTTTATTATCTGCATCCCTACAGCTGTAAGACTGCACAGGCTATAGCACTACAAAAGTATTTGCCATTCTCACTTATTCACTGCTGCTATTCCTACTCTTTTCAACAAAATTGTTTACCACATGGTACTTCTGCTAATGTAATGTAGGTTGATTCAAAATGCAATGAAAAATCTTGAAAAAATCTGGGCTTCTATAAGATTGATACAAATGATGTAGATTCAGTTCCTACTCATAGCGACCCTGTATAGGAGTCCTGGTGTGGCGCTGTGGATTAATGTACTGGACTGCAAAGTCAGTTTGAACTGCAGGGTCGGTGGTTCTAGTCGTTATGGGTCGAAACTGACTTGATGGCATTTAACATCATAGGGTTTCCAAGGAGTGACTGGTGAGTTTGAGCTGCCAACCTAGCAGTTAGCAATCCAGTGCTCTTCCTGCAACACCACACCAGGACTCCTAAGTGATATTAATAGGAGTATTGAAATCATATACAGAGTCACAAAGTGTGAGGCCACTTAAATAAACACCTTTGCCGTCTGGCACATTAACCCACAGTGCCATACCAGGAGTCCTTGTTGTTGTTGTTGTTGTTGTTATGTGCCGTGGAGTTGGTTCCAACCCATAGTGACCCTGTAAAGGGTTTCCGAGGGTGTAAATCCTTACGGGAGTAGAAAGCCTCATCTTTCTCCAGCGGAGCGACAGGACTCCTTAAAGGTGGAGAAATTGCTCAAGCCTTCAAATAAAATGGCCTAGTTTGTGGTCATGTGAAAGCTATGTTATAATAAAAGACTTATTACACTAGTATATAGTTTTTGTCACGGTTTACCCCAAATGAAAACTTGCCAGTCTAAGAATTAAAACATAGTTGTGATTGTTGCCTAAATTTTGTTAAATTGGAATTAACTTATTTCCATTTCTTTTTTCAAGATGAAACTCTAACCAAACCTTTTTCCGCTGTTAATCATTTGATTTAAAGTACATTGACTTCAAATAGTCTTCTTCAGGCAATTTAGTGTGGTAGTAAAAAAGGTAACTCTAGAACTCAACTACTTGGGTTGCAAATTCCTCAACTACTTACTAATTTTGTGTTGTTAATCAAGTTAACATTTTATTATCTACTTGTAAAAAGGCATAATGGTGGTCCCTAACTTCAGTGGCTCTGGATAAGCACTGGACTGTAAATCAGAAAATCAGAGGTTTTGTGAGGAAGAATGAGGAAACTCTATACAGGTTTGCTGTAAGTCTGAACCAACTCAACAGCATTTAACAACAAGCTTATAAGGTTGTTGTTATTAGTGTGATGCTTAAATGAGTGAATACCTGTAAGTCACTTAGAATGGTGATTGGCACGTAGTACATGTTGTTTTTAGCTATAGAAAGTTAGATGATCATCTGTCCTCTTATTTCCAATTTTTCTGAATTTAGTTTTTATTAAGGAGCCTGATTGAGACCTTTTTAGATGCCTCATTTTCACTTTTCAAAATCAAAGCAGCTTTATATTGAAAAGGCTAGAAATTAAATGGGGGAAATTTTTTAAAAAAAGATCTATTTTTTAAGTTTGTAATAAAATGATAGCAAACTTTTGTTTTTGTCTCTGGAAAATATCAGGAGTATATCTCTGCTTATTTTAAATACAGGGATATCTTAAATTACTATTTTAATTTTTTCAGGCACATATCTGGCTCAGACCTCTTTCTCAGTGCAAGTTACATCTATAACCATTATTGTGATTGCAAAGACCAACATTATTACCTTTCTGGGGACAAAATCAATGATATCATCTGTTTTCCAGTGGAAAGATTACCTCGTATTACACCCGTCTTGGCTTGCCAGGATAGAGTGCTCAGAGTTTTACAGGTTACTGCTATTCGTTTTTTCATAATTTTGTATAATTTAGATAAATGAATATTAATGAGCAATGTATATGTGAAATAAACTTTTAGTGACCAGTGCTATAACTGCCTTACATAAAATTATATCTGGAAATTGAAAAAATATATCAATAGACAAATTGGGAGGGTTTTTTTGTACATGAAGTAACTGTATTTGCAGTCTTTGGACAGTTTTTGGAAAGGCATACATGAAAGATAAATGATGCGGTTTTTTCCCCCCCATCAGTCGTTTCTAAACTAGTATTCTCCAGAGATTCCTCTAGCCCAACTTTTCTGCTTTTTGTCTGATTACTGCACCACTCCCCTCCCCCAGTCTTATTAAAGGAAAAAATTGACTTGGAGAAGAGGGTATTAGACTTTAACAAGGAATAGTTAAGATCATGGGTATAAAATTGGAATTTCTCTAGTGTTCATGATAGTATGTGAAACTGAGTAGGTATGGAGTAAATATCTGTTGGATAAATAATTGAGTAATAGAAGAGAAGACAGCAATCACTTTATTGTCCTCACAGTTTATGTTAAATGGCTAAAGCAATTGCTTAAGGTCATTTTTATTAGTAATAATGATGATAGTATCCTTTTGAAAGTGACTTAATATGAGATGCATGTACACATATACTACAGGACTATTAAGATAACATTTAAATGTAAATAATACGTAACAGGTAGATTAATTGAGTCGGAAATTTAGTAATTGCTGAAGTTAAACAAAAAGTGTATCTATGAAATCCATATCACCACAGACTTTCTCCATCTTTGGAATTTCATAGCCTGTAATTTAAGTTAAAGGAGACTTGGTGTTGCAATAGTTAAGCATTCAATTGCTAACTGAAAGGTTATTCCAGTAAAAAGCACAGCCTAGAAAACTCTATGGGACAGTTCTACTCAGTCACATGGGGTTGCTATATATAGAAAATAACATAACAGCACCTAACAATAAAAATGTATGATAATATGAACAACTTATTTTTTCAGCAGTTCTATTGTCATTAAAAATTCTGTTTGAATATAGATACTACCTTTCTTTTCAGGTACATATCTGGCTCAGACTTTTTAGAGCAAGTTACGCTTGTAACCATTACAGTTGTCCCTCATGGCTGTAGGTTCTACAGCCACAAAGTCAAACAATTGTTAATTGAAAGTATTGAGAGGTTGAGGAAAAGGGAGCAATTAAGTTGTCAAAACAATTCCTCAAAGACTGAGTGGGAGCATAAGGTGCTGCTTAGGTTGTACTTACATTGTATTAGATATTATAAGTAATCTAGAGACAATTTAAGGAGTCCTTGTGTGGCATCATAGGATAAGCACTGGACTGCTAACCACAAAGTCAGCAGTTCAAATTCACCAGCTGAGACTCCTCGGAAACCCTAAACAGGGTCTCTGTGAGTTGGAACCAACTTGATGGCACTTAAACAGGAACAGAGATCATTTAAAGTACGTGGAAGGATGTGTGTAGAAGGATGTAAATACTGTGGCATTATCCGTAAGGGACTTGAGCATCTGTAGATTTTGGTATCCTAGGGGTTCTACAACTAATCCCCCCTCGTGTACAAAGGGGCTGATTGTCTGGTGACTGCAATACAGTTGTGCTCTGCTTCAGTTTTAAAATACTTGTACTCCTACAGGGATCTGATCTCATGTATGAAGTTGAAGTTCCTGGACCACCTACTGTTTTAGCCCTGTACAATGGAAATGGCGGTAATTGGGATTTTATTTTTCACAATCAAATAAGGAAGGACATTGTGTTACTTAAGTCAGAATATTTTAGATTCTTAAAATAAAAGCACATAACTATGTGCTTACAAAAAAGATTAAGTCAAAGTGGAACATTGTAGAAAGAAAATTAAGAGAATTGTGTTTCTGTATATTACTAGTAGCTAACAGTAATGGGTTAATAGCAGTGGGTTAAATTTTTGACTTTTTTACCTTAAAATTAGATGGTGAGGAGAGGTCTTGTCTCCTGTTTAAAATTCTGCGACTGTCTAGCCATCCTCCCAAATATGGTTTCCCATAATTTTTTCATATGAAAGTAGAGATTTTTACATGAAAACCAATATATGTGAAAATATTTTAATTTTACAAAGGTGTGAGTTTGTGAAATATAGTATGTTGACTTTAACTATAACTTAGGTGATTCCGGAGAAGATCTTTTGTTTGGAACATCAGATGGAAAACTTGGGCTTATTCAAATCACTACATCCAATCCAATACATAAGTGGGAAATTCGAAATGAGAAAAAGAGGGGAGGTACGTTTCTCAAATTATGAAACCTCAGTGACTATTAAGTAAAATTTCCTAGATTATATAATGTATACTTTTTTTTACTTATATAGATAGCAGACTTACAGCCATTCGTAGCTTCTTTACACTTACCTACTGTTTGCTTTCTGCTCCAGTAAAGATTTACAGCCCCGGAAACCCTGTACAGGGTTGCTATGAGTTGTAATCAACTCCACGGCACATAACAACAACAACAACTGCTTGTTTATTTATCAATACTACTAGCATAATTTGTAAATTTACAAATTATAAGTATAAGTTTATCGTGCCATTAACATAATTTAGTTTGGGATAGATGGGCTTTTATGGGCTAATGTACACCTATGACATTCTATACTAAAATCCATTTTCACTGTCTAGGGTAGAGAATTAATTGTAATGTAGTACTACTAAGTATAAAGCAAGGAAGAAGTGTAGTGGATGAGGGAATATTCCTGTTTTCTAAGGAATTTTTACCTTTATGTTGTTGTTTAGTGCCATGAAATAGGTTCTAATAGCAACTCTGTGTAGGGTTTCTGAGGAGCGGCTGCTGAGTATGAACTGCCGACCTTGCTGTTAGCAGCCTAATGCTTATCCTACAGTGCCACACCAGGGCCCTATACCTTTATTGTTGTTGTTGTTAAGTGCTGTGGAGTTGGTTCCAACTCATAGTGACCCTCTGCAGGGTTTCTGAGGCTGCAGTTTTTTATGGGAGCAGAAAGCCTCATCTTTCTCCCATGGAACAGCTGGTAGTTTCGAGCTACCAACCTTGAGGTTAGCAGCCTGATTCGTAACCACTGTGCTACCAGAGCGCTATAGAAGGAATTTATACCTGACATTGTAGGTGTTTAAATGGCTGTATGTATAGGCTCTTTATTTATGTATTTGCTAGTTTCTTCAACAAATGCTTATTAGGGGAGATAGAGAATAAGCAAACAAGTTAGCTTCCACTAGTTAGCTAAAGAAAATATAATGGGGCAGTGTATTAGAGAATGATGGTGGAAAGGGGAAACTACTTTCAAACTAGGTGATCAAGGAAGGAGCTGAGATTCAAATAGAAGTTAGCAATGTGTAAAGATTTGGGGAAAGGAATGTTTAGAAATGGAAAAAAATAAGTGTTAAGGACTTATAGTGAAAATAAATGTAACTTATCTGAGGGACAGTAGGAATTAATTCATGCATTAGCATGATGTGTGAAGTTGGAGAGGCAGGGTAAGATTAAACTGTATAGGTCCTTGTAAGCCTTGGAAGAAGTCTGGATTTTAGTCTAAGAGCATGGGAAGTCATTGGAGAATTGTAATTTGAGGGTGGAAGGGGGAGAAGAGGTGATGACATGATGAAATTTACTAACAAGAAAACATATTTGGGCGAATGAATTTTGGTGAGATGGTGAGAACAGGTCAAATATTGAGCCAGGTTAGGTAATTTTTGTTATAGTTATTATAGTTTATTATAGTCTAGGCAGCAGATACTGGTAACCTGGATTAGGCTAACCGTAGCTGAAAATGGATGAAAGTAGACAATTTCAGTATGCATTTTGAAAGTCTTGCTAGTGGGATTTGTTAGTGAATTTGATGTAGGGAATGAGAAAAAGGAATCAAACAAGAAGCTAAAATTTGTCCTATACAACTGGGAGAGGGGGTTATAGTCTACTGAGATGGGAAGACTGGGGAAGGAGCAGTGTTAAAGGGGTGCTGGAAAATGGAAATAAAGAGTTGTTTGGGGTATGGAAAGTTTCAGATGCCAGATAATCAAGGAGAAGATGAAGAATAAGATGCTTGGAAAATATGAGGGTAAGTAAAAAAGTACTGCTATATAGAACCTTTACAAAAACGTCACAGTGTGACGTTATTGTTTCACAACCTATTTGCCCTTTGGTCTGTACACTTCTGAAGGTGGTATTTCCATCTCTGACCCTACCCCAAATAATTCTGTACTGTTTGACACCACAGCAAAATTGCAGTTTTAACATCCTTGAGGAACTCAAATTGTGTTCCTTTTAAATGTTTTTTAAGTTTGGGGATCAGAAAGAAGTCTGAAGGTCAGGACTGTAGGGTGGATGAGAAAAGGTTTCCTAATGAAATTCTGATAGGTCAGCCTTGTTTCCCTTGCAAAATGAAGGGGTGCAGTGTCAAGATGGAAAATAATTCCATGACACAACTTTCTTGGACTATTTCTGACCATTGGTTTTCAGTCTTAAAACTTTTTCATCATAAAGTCCTGCAGTCATCCTATGTCCTTCAGAAAAAAATCTATTAAGATTATTCCTTTAGAATCCCAAAAATTCTTCAAGAAAATTCTCCATGGCATTCTGAATTAACTAACCTCTCTCCACCTTGCTCATCTTTGAGGTTTTCCAACCTTCCTTAAAAATGCTTGATCTATCTAAAAATTATTGTTTATGTGAAATGAATCCCCAATAAACTTGTTGCAAAATTTCGGTGATTTGGGAAGACTTTACTTGACTTATGTTAAAAATTTGATAATTAACCCTGACCTCAGAATCTTTTTTTTCCCCATGGACACAACAAGTATCTTTTTTTTTTTTTTAAGGCATCTAACAAGATTAAGACAAGTGCTTTGCTGAGAACTTGCATGCAGCCAGATCTCAAGCCATTTTTAAACACATTTTGTTTGGAATACACCTGTGCATGTATGAACCGGCACCCTAGTAGCAATACTTTTAAACTTACCCTCGTATGAGTCTGGAGCTCAGGACAAAGGCTGGAAGTGTATCTTTAGGAGCCATGACTATTATTTAAAGCTTTGAAATAAACAGATATAGATGGAAAACAGAAGGGCTTCTGATTTGACTCAAAAGTTTTTTGTCTCTATTCTTATTTGATATATGTTTGGTGGTTTTTTTTTTCATTTTTACTTGGTAAACTTGATAAAGTTATTTGTTTTTGTAATAACCTATCACATTTACTTTTTAAAGGTATTTTGTGTATTGACAGCTTTGACATCATGGGTGATGGGGTTAAAGAGTTACTTGTTGGGAGAGATGATGGAATGGTGGAAGTGTATAGTTTTGATAATGCAAATGAACCTGTCCTACGATTTGATCAGGTGAGTTCATTGTTTGTTTGTTTTTAAATGTTTTATTGTGAATTATGTGATAATTTACATGGGAGAACATTAGCTTTACATTCATCCTATCGTATGTTATTTCATTGCCATGGTTATAATCCCCTCCATGCATCATCAACCAACCAAAGGGTATACCCTATACACCTGCCCCTCGGTCGTCAGCACACAGCCCCTCTCTCTCTCTCTGGGTCTAAAGTCCCCAGCCACTCCATCTCTCCACATCAATGTCTCTGCCAACATCTCTGGCCTCACTGCTTCTATGGGTAGGGTCCCACTCTACGCTCTTCTCCCTTGATGGTCCCAGGGACCTCTGCTCCTAGACTGCAAAGTTAATCACTCCCCTCCTTGCTACAAAATGTCTACCTTTACATTTACAACCCTCACAATCAGTACCGATAACAATTATTCACTACGGTATCACAAGAGACCTGTCCACATTTGCTTTCATCAGCCCTGCCTAGACAGATTGGATACTACTCAGTGGAGAGTCTACCTTCCTGCATTCCCTCTGGATCTAGGCTCCCTCTTGAAAGCTTGTAAGCCAGTCACTTCTTGCCTTGGTAGACCCCTCACTTTGGGTAGCCAATGTCCAAGTTGCCCATCCCTGTCTACTCTGTGTATGGAGGGGGTGGGAATGATCCTTGCTGTAAAGATTTGTTCCCTCTTTTGAGCTACTGCATCCATAGGTATAGGTCAAATTCATCAAATTGTATCAGATTATTCTTTTTTTCCTCTTCTTTCTTCTTCTAGTTGAGCTCTGATCATCCAGTCATTGAAGCCAGGTCAAGTGGGTATTAATTGCAAGTGTGGGTGTTCTTGTGTATATGCCCTCTCTTCTTATCAGCTGGACGCTTCACTCTCCCCTCTACTCCTCTGTCACTGATTCTGGGCCGAAGAGTCCCCAGGTCTTGCCACACTGCTGGCCAACCAGGTCTCCACCCAGGTTCACAGGAGTCTATTGAACGTTGTAGGGCTTAGCTCGCAGCTTCATTGCTGTTTTTCCCTCACTTCCCCTTATGGGTGATGAACGTGGTCACCAATCAGAGCGTGTATTCCCATTGAGTCTTAGTCTTGGAAGGGGGTTTGCTCTGAGGGGATCTGGTAAGTTCATTTTCAAAAGCCTATATTTTAAATGAGTTTATTAATCATCAAGTAATTATAGAGATGACTATGGTTTGGATTTCTCTAAATGAAAGTGTATTAAACTCTTATGTCTGGTTTAAAATATTGCTGTTTTGATTTTGTCAAAATCTCTGTTGTATCATAGACTACCATGGTATGTGCATAATAATGATTATTGCCTTTAACATGGATAGTGTTTTAAAATATTATGTATTTCTGAAGTACTATATATTTTGCCTAGATTTTATAATATAACTTTTACACTACAAGATTGACCTATAAATGAGACTGTTGTTTTAAACTACTGATGATTTTTAGAACAACATTTATGTTGTTAAGATAATATCAAAATTATCTTGAGAGGGGCAGCAGTTTTAATTCTCACTTACCCGGGGCCAGCTATATAAGAATAATAAAAGCAATTTTTATTTCACAAATTTTAATTCTGGTTTAGGTTATTTATCCCAAGGTATAAAGCTCCATAGACAAATACTCCGGTAAAAATTGAATCTTTGATTTTTATTAAATGTTACTCTTCAATCCAGAGCTTCCCCATTCTATATCATTCAGGAGAATAAATTCATTTACAGTCATCACTGAGGCTATTTAAATTAAGAAAAGTCACAACTCAGTTGTGACTCTTTCCTTTCTTTGTCTGATTTTTTAGTGATGGTTCTTCTCCACAATTTTGTTTAACTGCATCTCAGCAAACACAAGTGCTTGGGTGTATAGACAAAGTATATTATAAAGTATATCAATATACTGTACATATATTGTATACATTCTACAGACAGTACAGGGTGATGGCACAAATGGTTAAGTGTTCAGTTGCTAATTGAAAGGCCGATGCTTCAACGCATAGTTGTTCCTGGAAAGAAAGATGTGACAGCCTTGTCAACCCTGTGGGGCAATTCTGTGTCCTATAGGGTCGTTCCCACTACTCGCCTGCCAGTTTGTCGTACTGTGGTGGCTTACATGTTGCTGTGATGCTGGAAGCTCTGTCACTGGTATTTTAAATACCATCAGGGTCATCCATGATGGACAGGTTTTAGTGGAACTTCCAGACTAAGACTAGGAAGAAGGAAAGGCAGGATTACTTCTGAATAGTTAGCCTTATGAATAACAAAGAAACACTGTCAGCTAGGACATCTGCTGGGAGATGAGCTGCTCAGGTTGGAAGGCATGCAAAGTACCACTGAGAAGTAGAGTTGACATCCTCAAAGTAGAGTTGACGATAATGATATGAATGGAACAAATCTTTCAGGACCTTTGTTTGCAAAACAGACTTTTTAAGTTATGTACATTGTTCTGTATCGTTGTATGTGAATGTCTGAATGTATATTGGTTGCAATGTAAAATTTACTGTTTTCAAAATAGTTTAAAAGTCACTGACCTATTGAGTTAGTTCAGACTCCTAGCGACTCCATATAAGGTTTCTGAGGAACAGCTTGGTGGGTTTGAACCACTGACCTTGCCGTTCAGAGTTTGCATTCTAGTGCATTATCCTGCAGTGCCACACCAGGATAGTGTTTTTTAATAAAAATACAGATTCCTAGTTGACACACCTATTGTAAGACAAGTCTGGAAAAGATAGCTTTAAGTACCTGTAAATCTTGAACCATCTGAAAATTGTGGTTTCTTTCTATTATAGTAATTTCATAAAGATTCCATAGAGACTATCATCTTGTTTATCTAAAAAACTTTGGAAAAATACATGGGATGTGATCTATGAAATTCAGGAAACCAGACCATAATTATTAGAACTTTGCTTTATTTCATTTGAAAAAAAAAAAGTGTTTTTCGTTTGTTATATGCAATATGTTTGCTCATTTGATTACCACATTGTTAGCAGGGTGGTACACACAAATATTCCTGAGTTATTATGAATGCTTTTTCCCCAGATTTTAAAAACAATAGAATTTTCTGAAGTTTAAGCAAGATTTATTTCTAATTTAAAGTGTATACATAAGTAAGCATTTAGTAAATACTTCAGCTGTGTTATCAGGAGGTTCTAGTCCCTGGAGAAGGACCTCGTGCTTGGTGAAGTGCAGAGTCAGAGTTAAAGAGGAAAAGAGGAAGAGCCCCCACCACCCCCCACCCCAAGAAGATGAATTGGCACAGTAGCAGCAACCATGACTCAAGCATAGCAACAGTTGTGAGAATGGCACAGGATCAGACAGTGTTTTCATTCTGTTGTGCGTAGGGTTGCTTTGTGTCGGAGCTGACTCAATAGTACCTAACAACAACAAAAAAGTATATGTTGAATGTCTGGAAACAGAAAAATAAGTTTTGTAACTTAACATGATATCTGTGAAATTTCTAGTTAATAATTGGGTACATTATCTTAAATTTATTTTAGACTTTGTCTGAAAGTATCACATCCATCCAGGGTGGCTGTGTAGGAAAAGATGGTTATGATGAAATTGTGGTATCTACATACTCAGGTAAGGTAAATGATGACAGTTGTTATGAGAAAGAATACTCCTTAGTTGCTGCTATAGTATTTAAGGCAAAAAATAATATAGTAAAACCTCCAAAAGCCAGAACCTGTATAAGGCAGAAACCTAGCAGAGAAGGAAAACTCATATATTTTCCACTAATAGAAAGAATTTAGTGAAGTGGTTTAAGTTTGCACCCTGTCAAAACCTGAAAACCTGTGAGATTTGGGGAAAAAAAGACAGTCCCATTGATTTGACTTTCATGGGATTCACTGTACCATAAAATGCTTAATTGATTTCTTTATGGCTTGACTATTTTCCAGCTTGATTTTTTTTTTTTAAATAATGGAATCTTTAAGATAAGTGAGGTTAATGTAGGCAGATAAAGGGGTATGTATAAAGGAGTTACAGCTACACAATATATACTATATCTCATGATAACAACATGAGCAACACTAAATGGTGCCTGACTGTAATTCATCTCTACAGGATGGGTCACAGGTCTGACAACTGAACCTGTCCATAAGGAAAGTGGACCAGGAGAAGAACTAAAAATTAACCAGGAGATGCAGAATAAAATTTCTTCTTTACGGTAACCCCTCAGGTCTTAACGTGTGTAGTTCTTATTTGTTACGTACATACACAATATATTTTATTGGAAGGAGTGATATAATTAACATATTACCTTTAAAATGAAAGTATATTAGTTTAAGAAAATTAGCAATAAGGGCTGATTAATATTTTGGAAGACTCTAAAGGAGCTCTGGTAGCATAGTGGTTATAAGTTGGGCTGCTAATCTCAAGGTCAGCAGTTTGAAACTACCAGCTGTTCTGTGGAGAAAGATGAGCCTTTCTGCTCCCATAAAGATTGACAGCCTCGGGAACCCTGTACAGGGTCGCTATGAGTCAGAACTGACTCCATGGCACATAACCACCACCAAGTCAAATAGATTGACACAGTGGCTGCAACAATGGGCTAGAACATAGCAACGATTGTGAGGTATGCACAGCACTAGGCAGTGTTTCCTTCTTTTGTTTGTTGGTTGCTAAGGAGCTCTGGTAGGGTAATGGTTACTAATTCGGCTGCTAACCTCAGGGTCAGCAGTTCGAAACTACCAGCTGTTCCGCGGGAGAAAGATGAGGCTTTCTGCTCCTGTAAAGATATACAGCCTCGGAAACCCTCTACAGGTTCTCTATGAGTCAGAACCGACTCCACGGCACATAACAAAACATGAGTCACTCAATGGCACCTAATAGCATCATAATATTTTGGAAATAGACTTTCTGCATGCTTTATTCTGTAATTACTTCTTCATAGAAGTATGAAGATAATTTGTAAGACTGTGCCAAGAAATTTGGAACACAACTCATTGGCCAACTGATTGGAAGAGATCCATATTCCAAAGAGAGATGATTCAACGGAAAGTGGAAATCATCAGACAATATCTTAGATATCCCATGTGAGTAAAGTTTTGCTAAAGGCAACACAGAAATGGCTGCAAGCATATATTGACAGAGAA